CCAAGATGCATGCATCAAACTCATTGACGACTACGCTACAGGAGGCGATGAGTATCTGACGGAAGACAAGCTGCGAGTCAGTTGCGGTCTCAAAATTCGAGCCCGGCATGTCGACGTTGTCGACGGAGGTGTTGCTCTTCTTGAAGTTCAGTGCAGTCAAGATGAGCGAGACCAGCGTGACTTGCAATACAAGAAGTTGCGACAGCTCATCATGGATGCCCTGTTGGATTGCTCACAGTCCGATATGACAATGGGCGAGTTTGTAAGAAAGGTCACATTGCAAGGGGAAGACCTGCCCAACATCAATAAAAAACAATTATGGAAAGAATTGGAGGACAAGGGTTTGCTTATCAAGGCCAAACGAAAGGGCACCAGAGCAACTGATGTTTTGCAACCTCTTTTGGACATCAAACACAAGCTTCAAGATATCATTGACATCAAACCGTGCGATACTGCAACCCTTTTTCTGGAATCTCGCAACATGTGTCGCTTGAGCCAATACTTGGCCCAGCCGACTCGAGTTGTCAACAATGACATAGTCATGAAATACCTGGAGCAATGCAAGAGAAAGGTGGCGACCAGGGGCCGGAAAGGTGCCTCAGCGAAAGCAGTACAAAATGATATCGAAGAACGCATTTCCAAGTTCCAGTCCTACGAGAAAGTCTGTGCATCTTTCCAGGAAGGCCAAAATCCAGATGCGTTTGCAGTTGACACACTTGATTCGCAGGAGTTTGGGTACAAGTATGCTGATGGAGCCAGAATTCGTTCTCGCAGGTATGTTGTTGGTTCTGGTGCCCAAAAATGTGCGCAGCGGATCCAGTACCACCTCTTCCCGCATACTATGGACTTGGACATCAAAAATTGCTGCTTGAAACTGACGTTGCAATTGGTGGAAAAGACAGAGCCATCTCCTTCCATGCCAGAGGATATTTTGGCGGTCTTGCAGGAGTGGCTTCAGTCAAGGGACGAAGTTTGCAAGGACATGTTGCAGGTTTCGACGTCAGAAGGGAAAAAAATCATTAATGCTGTGCTGAATGGAGGGTCTCCTCCAGAGAGACTGAAAGATTGCACCTTTGTGCGGAAAATGCAAAAAGCATCCGCCTATTTACGCTGGTTTGCTTGCAGTTTGTTGGCCGAAGATTATAAAGACTTGCTGACTAGAGACGACAAAGCGTTCCCAAGCGCAACCGCATTCCATTATATGTGGACTGCTGTGGAGGACTTTGTCTTGGAACAGTGGCTGGAATTTGTCAAGCAACAGCGTCCGACACACGTGTCACTGCATTTCGACGGTGTGCGTGTGAACAGGGACATAACTGAAGGCAGCGTGGAGTCTTTCCTGAGACAGTCGGAGCAGCACATCAAAGCAAACACAAACTTTTCGGTTGACTTGGTCTGCAAGGAGCACTCGCACACGCAAGAGCTTATTTGCAACGCAGCGACGAAGACTGAAGATTTGACAGACCTTCCAGATTTGTTCGTCCAGGATGGGAATTGCGTGCCGTGCGCTCTTTGGCACCTTTGTGACAACACCAGCCAGTTCGAAACAATATTTTCATCAGACTGCCCGGAAAACAAGTACATGTCGGAACGAAAGCACAGAACGTATAAGCAGTGTTCTGCTTTGGTTGGTCAGCAACTTCAACCATGCCTGGGGCTTCCAGATCCCCTTCTGGGGAAGTTCGTATTGCATGCAGAAGGCAAAGGCAAAGGGCATTGCGTTGGTGTCAGCATTCCCGAGGGTAGTGATGAAGCCTTTGTGTGGAACGGATGTCGGAAGTATACGATGCCAGTGACTTCCTTCCTTGCTGCAGCAAGCGTTGGCATCGATCGACTGACAGTGGTTTGCTTTTCTTTAACTGACACATGCCCATCTGCTGAAGATTCCATTCTTTTAGATTTACAAGCTGGCTCCTTGTCAACAGATTCAGATTCTGAGGAAGCGCCAGACAGTGCTTTGATTGTTGATGACGAGGGGCATTGCAGATTTGAAGATGTTATCAGGGATTCACTCGAGGAGGAGGTGAACAGTTTCATGGCAGAGATAGACGCCAGCAACATCCGCCGAATGAATGGGTTTTTCAGATGTGCTCTCTGTCCGTTCCGTTGCTTCAACAGAGTCAGTCAGCTCCGGGATCATGTGCGTTTGTATCATGTGCGAAGCAATCAGTTCGTCTGTTCTGGCACAAAGCAAATGAAGATAGTTCTTGCCTTGCATGATGCAGATAATCTTCACCGAAAATGTGAACATGCCTTTCTTTTTCGCAGCTCCCAGCTACTTCGTTCTCAAGTGCAACCTCCGTTGGATGGGCGTTGCAACAACATTGACAAATCAATCCGTTTGCTTTTCACTGCCAATGGGCCGCAATACATCAACACCACTGCAATTGAGACGTTGTCTGTGCGAAGGGTCCTGAATATCTACTATGACAGGTCGTTCGCGGATGTCTTATACCGGGAGATTGTCCTACATCATTCGAATGCATCTTGGCCTTTTGAAGTTTTGTGGTGTCTAATCTAGGCTCAACAACTTTTCTTGCTAGTGACCGCATCTCGGAAAACGGTTTCTAAGGTCAAAAGCATTTGGCCTCGATTACATCTTCGTGCATGTGAAGCTGGCAATCCACTGGGAAACTTGTTCCCAGGTCACACACGTCACTGGTGGCCTTTGGTGGAAGATATCTTCCAATCACAGCAGATGGCTGCACTCACGCGCAATATCTTCAGCACGTTTGAGAATGATAACGAATTTCTGGTCATTTCAATTGATTGTACATTGAAGGTGTGCATGTCGGTAAAGGGCCAAGCGCATTATAGAGCCGCTGCAGAGGTACGAAATTCGGCATGCTTCAACGATGAAGATTCTTTGCGAAGAGTGTTGACGATCCGCGGGCGCACAAGTGCTGTTTTGGCCATGGTGCCTGTCAGAGGAGAAGATGCCACAACAATCGCCGATGTGCTGAAATTGAAGTTTTCGACCGCAGCTCTGCATCAAGTGAGGTATGTTTCTACAGACTCTCCATCTTTGAAGCTTTTCCAAGAGTTGCACTCTGCATGTCCAAACCTGATTGGCCTTTGCTTGGACCCAGTTCACCTTGCCATTGTGTACGAGTATGCTCAGTGGGGAAGACGTTCTGCTGGGTCAAAGATGTTGCGGGCCGCGCTCAACAGGATCAATCAAATCGACAGCGTGGCCCGCCCAGAGTCTTGGGGTCCTTTTTTCTGTGGCGTCTCTCCTCCAAGCCTTTCCCGCGAGGAGGAGAGAACGCGAGAAGCCATCCTGAATCCGAAGAATCTGGGGATGACAAGGGCGCGGAACATCATTGACGCCATCGACAGTGCATCGCCCATGTACTGCCGGATTACGTTCATCGAAAGTGTTGCTGCGATTTGCAAGTTGCATCAGGAAGAGGTTGTCCGCAAAGTCACTGGTAGCAACAAAGAGCTGAGGAAAGTGTTGTGGGCTGCTTGTGCGCCGGAGCGCTTAGAGTGGCTTTTCAACGGCGCTCGTCTCCGACATGCTCTGACACCAAGGGACCGAGCGCTTTTGCCCAGTGGCACGGCATCCAACGAGAGCCTCCATGCTCAGATTAACTCTTGGACGCGATCCATTCGCAGCTTACATCAGAGCACTCTACGCTTGAAGCTGGACATTATGCACTTTGGAAAAATGCTTGCCCATCATGTGGCCACTTGCTTTCCAACCGTTCGACAGACTGAAGAGTGCGTACTGCTGTCGAGAACTCTATGCGCAAGCATCTGGAGCGAGGCAACATGGGCGGAGTTCTGCCAAGGCAACAGGAAAGCCACATTGCCATTGCATTCGAGCAGAAAAGGCGAAGCCCTGAAGGTCAAAAGTTGGGTACAGAAGCGGCCAGCGACAAAGGTGCCCAAGGCAAAGCCGAAGAAGAGGAATGTCCTCACAGTTGCAAGGCGGCACTCCATAAAGTCTGGTGGCAGAAGGCCAAAGAGCCAAAGACCTTGAAAGGATTGGAAAAAGAGCCTGTTCATGTTGAAAGCGCGCTGCATATTAGTATATGATTGTGTCACAGCTTTGTTCTGATTGTTGTTGTGCGAACGTGCTGCGTGGAGCAGATCCATGTCATCAAGTATAAATCATCGGGTTGCCACAATAGAGCTCCAGAAACGAATGTCTGTATGTATGTATGTATGTCTATCTACAGAATGTGGGTGCTTGTGCGTGGGGTTCAAGTCAGACTGAAAGTGTGTTGCGCGAGACTGCGCATGTACGCTCTGCACGCTTAGATTAGTCAGTCACACTTGACGCTACGACAATGCCAAACTTATGCCAAGACATATCTCAGAGCACATCCCAGACTGCATGCCGGAACATATGTCAGAACGCGCGCTATAGGGTGGCTGGTAGAACAAGTGTCAAAGCTGACGCTAGGAACTGTCCTAAGTATTGCTTTATACATATAAACTTTCTTGAAGTATATAAGTTTAGCTGTTTGTTTGTTGTGATTCTGTGATAGTTTTTTACATCGCAATGCATCGCATCTGATCTCAGGAAGGGACCCAAACATTTTGTATTGGCATTGTAGCGTGACGGGCCTGCAGCTTGGATTTGTTGAAGTATATTTTTGTTTGCTTGGTCGGTCACCCCTTGGACAACGGTTTTTGGTTTCTTGTACACTTGACAACAATACCTCTCCACTAGTGTAAGTTTCCAATATATTTTTGTCTATAACCAAAGCAGTTAAGGTCTTTACCGGCATAGATATCCGAAGGAATCCTTGAGCAGAGTGATGCATCCGGATCGGTGCAATTGGCACCCTTCAGGGTCAGAAAAGATCGCTGTGCAGCGGGGAAGGTTCGTTGGGCGGATATCGATTTGGTCTCTGATAGACCGCGCGAAATGAACCCCAAAGGTCCCTACCTCATATATATATATATATTATATCTGTGTATATTTACAAGAGACACTGCACATCCATCGTTTCATTGAAAACTGAAAGACCGCCCTTTCTCGCCCAGGCTCGTCCTCCTCCCTGTCCTGCGCCAGCAATCGCTCCTCCTCCCCATTCGGCGGCTCCGACCCATCGCTGCGGGCGCCCTCCTCGCCCTCCTCGTCCTCGTCCTCGTCGCGGGCCTTTGGTCAAGAGCTCGGAGACTGGAGAGATGAGGCTTCATCGAGGAGAGAGGTGTGCATTTTAAGAGCGATGGCCTCCAACCCAATAGGGAGACTAAAGACTTCCAAGGGCAATGAGTCTATTGTCCTTCTTCCAGACCCCGTTCTGGCCCGGGACAGTGCAGTGGCACTGCATTCTGAGGGCTGCAATGGATCTCCGAAAGTTCTTAGAGGAATTTTTTTGGTTGTCTCCATGCTACCCATCGCCGAAGAATCTCTAGCCGCTTCATTTCCATGCGCCTTTTGGCGAGAACCCCTTCTTGACCAAAGAACCACCAAAAAGCCGGCATCCAACATCGATCCATCCACCAATGATGCCTCCCATGAGACCAACAATCCTCCAACACAGCCATCTTCAGCCCCCAATTGATTCACCTGCACCAATCCCAGTCGCTGGCGTCTCGTGGCTTTCCTCCGAGCTGTTCTCAGAGGCCTCCGCAACGGCGCCCGCCGCGCCCGCCGCGTCCGGTGGAGGTGGCGGAGGCCCGGGCGGCGGCGGCGGCGGCGCGGCGCCCAGGGTGGGCCTTGGGGCGGGCAAGGCTGTCGATGAAGTTCAGGGTGAACTGACAGGACGAATGAACATGCTTTGTAGGTACATATGGATGTATATGGTTTCTGCTTCAGGTGGGTCCCCCCATCAGGCCACAGTCGATCATGTCTATACAGTGTATATTGGAATAAACAAATTAAATATATATATATATACATACAAGTACTTCTTGAGTGCAGCCTTGAGCCTCATGGCCTCAAGCCTCAGATGACACAACTTCACCTTCGCAGCCCAGCGGCCACTCCAACTGGTTCTCGGCCTCCAACTTCACCGGCGCCTCGCTGCTGGACCTCGCCGCCGCGCTGGGCGCAGGCCCGCTCGGCGCCAGCCCGGGAGGCGCTGCGGGGGCCGCCTGCACCGGGAAAAGGCCGAACAAACCAAGCATGAGAACATAAAGTGGGTCACATGGAATTGGCAGAAGTCTATATTCTTTTTTGGGCCAGCCTCCTCTTTGTGATCCTTGGACGTGTCCACCTTCGCTTCTTTCACCTCCTTGGTCTTTTGGAAGGGGCTCATCACCGGCGCCACCCAATCATTCACCGGCGCCAAGGCCAAGCAAGGCTCCTCGCAAAGGAGTTCTGGGAAGAGGTCTTGGCTGAGGGGGAGGCAGAAGACCTCTCAGATCCAAAATCAAATGATGCAAGATCAGTGAGACTTGTTGGGCCAGTTGCCTCTAGCAGGGTGTGAGGTCAGAAATCTTGAGAACCACTTGAGCACTTCACACCTGCCATGCACTTGAGAGAGGAGGGGGGTGAACGAAAGGTAGCAGGGAATCAGGCGTAATCCGGGAGGAGGTGAGAGGCCCCCCCACTTGTTTGAAGAGAAGTGAGTGAGCGTGATGAAAGAAAGACTAATGCACAAACGCTTGACAAAACCTCCAGAAGCTGTAGCGGTCTAGCGGTTTCAATACAGGTTGACGTGCCTTCAAAAGGAGTCACATATTTCTCAAGTGCAACTTCGGATTTACATAGTGACGTGCGGCGACCCTGTAAATTGCGTGGCCGCAGGCCATGCTTGCAAACAGGACGTGCTCAAAAACACTGGTATTTACAAGGTTTCGTTGCCGTCGATCCACAGCCGCGGCAAGGTCTAAGGCCACGCTTGAAGACAGGAGGAGCTGAAAACACTGGTATTTACGGTATTTTGTAGCCGTCGATCCAAAGGTGCACCACGGTTGAGAGCTGGAAAAGCGCAGAAAACCGTGTAAATACCGGCGTTTTCTGCCGAGAAGGTGCACAAAACCCTGTAAATACCATAGTTTTGTGCAATTTTGAAGCCTCCAAAAGCCTCAAAAACCCTTTCTGACAAAATCTTTCCTGGTTTTTGGTCTTTTTTCGGTCATTTTTCTAACCGAGACGCATCATCGGTTTTTGCGGTGTTTTTTGCCGGACAGCCGCAAAAAACGCTGTAAATTCCATGATTTTTGGTCACTGCTGAGGACTGGAAGAGCTGAAAACACTGATATTTACAGTGTTTTCGAACGGTTGACCCCGAGGCGCGCTAGGGTGGAGTTGAAAGGGGGGGGGGGGGGGGGGCCCCCCCCCCCGGCCAGCAAACGAAGATGTCGGGGACCATTTCTCCGAGAGATAGGCTGCAGCTCTGGGTTAATACTTTTTTGCTAAAGCAAAAGGAAAACTCAGGTAGCGTAACCGCTACCTTTCGTGATCAGTCGAAGATTCGCCCTGCGGTGACTTCATTCTGAAGCGAAATCAAGACCTCAGAGTTTGAGCCACCCACCTTTATGGGTGTGTATTGAATTAGGGAGACCTCCCAGTTTGACGCCCTGGAAGAAGGAAGATAGACCACAACCCATTCGGCCAGGGGGTCCCTATGAAAATACACCCACATAGGCTCACATAGGAAATAACAAATCCTGGATCCATTTGGCACTTGCCATTGAACACGCGATGTGACTTTGGGCATGCGAACACCGTAGCCACTGACCACACGGCGAACCGAAAAAGAACTTGGTACCGATCTAGTTGGACGTGGGGACCCCCCCGGTGGTGATCTCGACTCAAGTTCAGCCAGTTCAGCGCTCCAGTCCGTGACCCCCGTGCCAGACAGTCCATCAAGGAGAGGATGAGCTCGCGCCACTCGGCGATGAGACCCAAGCCCACCTCCATCCTGACGGGGAGGAAACATCTGCGCGCCATGAGGCGATGGCAAAGGGCCCAAAGTGACACCAATGACGAGTACCAAGTGACGGCCCCATGACATGCGCCCAGGTCCGCCAAGACGGTCCAATCCTCCCCGGGCCCAGGTCCGAGCTCATGGACCTTCACCAAGTGACCGTCCGATCTTACACTCCCATCAAACTCGACCACAATGGGTCCCTGGAAGGTGGTTTTCCTCTACCAACCGAGTGTCTTTTTTGGGGTCTTCCAGGGTGTAATCAACGAAGGTCATCCTTCACTCCTTCACCATCCTCAGTTGCTGTTGGAGCTTCCCTGACCGAACTCAAGCAGCATGGACGGCAGCCGCTGGGGAGAAGTTGGGCAAGGGCGCTTCCGGGGGAACATAGTCACTAAACCCAAGTGCTTCATAGCACACTCCCAGTGCCTGGCATCCAGACCTGCCCAGCTCTTCGCCAAGAATCGTCTGCACGAAGGGACCACCCAAACCCAGAGGCCCAAGAGCATGAACCATACACCGCGTGAGGCCTTAGCAACAACCAATCCCCCTCCATCAAGGGGGTGCATCAGGTCAGTTGGAGCTTAACTCCTGGGCACCAAGTGCAAGCCGTTCACCAACTGCCGTGGGGTGCAACCGTGAAACCCGGATTCCAAAGGTTCACACTCCGAAGTGTCGAAATTCGCCCCAGCTATCCCGATCCAGTCTCGTGCCAAACGGGTTAGCTGCTGAACTCTTGGGCCCTGAAAAAATATACAGCACAAAATAGCACAAAGCACAGTGAGTAGACTGATCAGGTCATCCAAGTCATCTTGGTAAAGGTAGACTGATCAGGTGTGGTTGATCCCGCCAGTTGTCATATGCTTGTCTCACAGATTCAGCCTTATTAAGCCATGCATGTCTCAGCATAAGCATGTATAAACACGGCGAAACTGCGTGGTTTCACCGTTTCGCCAGCCACGTCGTGTTGTTTCACCGGCGTCTTCGTTGGCATGGCTTTCGTCGCGCGTCGTGCGGTGGGCTGGTGCTGCAAACTCCGAAGAGCTCGCATAGGAGGAGGTGTTCCACAGCACGGGCGGCTATCCCAGTAACGGAGGTTAGACATTTATATACTATGGCATGATGGGACACGCACACCCACAAACCCACACTTGTTCAATCCCTTGCTAGCAAGGCAACACCCTGAGTACTGCAGTTAAGCACTCCGTACACCCGAGCAGCCCTGTACCCCTACGAAGCGCCGCACGTGCTTTTCTCTCCGAGAAGCGGAAGGGCACCCGCTCTGGTACACGCAAGCGCTGGCCACGGTCAAAGCAAATGGAATAGTCCACGTGCACCACCTGCGCAGACCGTGAGATGCGGTGCCCCGCAGCGCGGGCACCAAGTTCTTGTTGCATACCTTGAGCATCCTTGAGTTAAGGTTTCTCTATCCCACAAGGTCGCTATAGACCCCTGGTGGTAGAGGTGGAAGTTCGCTCCAAGGCCCGGCCAGCTCGGGGGTCGGGGAACCAACACCGGTTCAACCTGCCACGTGGCCGGGGTCTTTTCGGCCCAACTCCTTGAACTCATGACAGGCATTATGGCTTTCTCCAGGCCTATAGGGCCTATGGCTTGGTCATCTCGCCACCCGGAACGATCGGTGGGTGAACACCGGGTGCCGCCTCTCCGGTGGTCAGGTCCAAGAGCAGGTTGTCCAAGTGACGATCTCCCAGGCCAATGAGATGCCCCAAGATCCTCGGAAGGCCCGGACGATCCCAGGCGTTCGACGGTCGGCCAGTCCGAGTCGCGAGTCGCGAACGAAGAAGATCGGAGCACCGTGGGTCGTTCGGGACTGCTTGATGGGACGGAATGGGATGGGGATGGCGGTTCTTCTTGATCAAACTTGAGCATCCTGCACGCCTCGTGAATACTTCTCACAAACTTGACGGCACAATCAAACCCACAAGTAAAGGTTTAGTTGGATTTACAGCGTACGTTTGTGCCCTTGTCCACTTGTCCAAGGGACACACGATAAGCACATCAAGACATGCATATGTAATCTATTCCCCGGACTGGGTATCTCCAAACTCGGTCCCTCTCCACCATTGGGGCATCTCCACCTCCCCAGCCACCCTCACAAGCGTCGAGCTAAATGAGGTCGACAAGGTATATGCCCTCTGCCGCAAGAAGTGCTGTCCTTCCACTACTGTGTGCAATGAGCGGGCGACTTTGTCGGGACCCGTTACTCTTACGCAGCTATCAAGCAGTGACAACTCTTCACCACTAGCTAGCTGTCAAGCACTCAAGACCCTACTTCGAAACCTACCCACATCTCAAAAGAAGAGGCAAGCCCTAATATGCAGCGTCAACCTACCTAATTAAATGCTTGTCTCTGCCTTCGTTTGAACTCCTCACCAGAAGATGTTTACAAAGGAAAACTGTATCTTAGGGCGGGGCCAAAAAATCAAAAAGGCCCGTCCTGGATGGAGAGAGCTTAAGAAAAGCTCGCGACTGATGAGGTCCGAGGGCGAATCTGCTTGCATCTCATCAAAGGTCCTGGCGGAGGTTTTCTGCCTGGATTCGGTGTAACCGTGCACCCAAAGGATGTGCCCAAAAGGGGGAATAGGACCATAGGAAATTGAAGAAAACCCGAAATCTGTTCGTTGATTGATGTTTGGGATCTCACCAAGAATTTCGATGGTGCCATCACCAGCGCCCAAACCCCATGCACTTCATTCTATTAAAGAAATCAGAACCCTTGGTCATGAAGAGCTTGTTCAACAAACCTCTGGCTCGGCATCACGATCTCAACCAATGACATCACACACTCATGGAAGCGGATGGCTGGGAAAACGATGTTCCTCTACAAAGCGGCTTCCTCTCCACGCCCCTTTCAAGTGCTCCAAGAGAACCCAACCCAAATGGTCCCAACAAAAAGGCGAGTGCTCCACAACGCTTCCGCCCAAACGCCCAACCGCCCAACCGACGGTACGCTCGTGGGCCCCGGGGTCCGGGGTCCCCGGGCACCGCAGGACGCGGCGTGTCGAAGACACCGCGCCTCCGAAGCGCCTCCATCGGCCAGTGCCGGCGCGGGTGGTTCACATCCGAGTCCATCGCCCTGGAAGTCCGGCGATCGACTCTGAAAGAAGGGCGTGCCGTGCCGGCCGTGCCCGCAAAACGAGCGAACGCGAGCGTGTTCCGATGCGAGGAGGATTGGAGACCCTGTTGGATTGAAAGGAGCGTGCCAAGTCTTGAAGCTGGACGTGAACGCGCTGAGTCCACGTGACGCGCGGACGTTGGACCCGGAAGTTGGTTGAACCTTACTACCGTAGATGGACGAAATGTTCAAACCCTTGACCACATAGACTTCCCCCCCGCCACCCCCCACAGTTCAATGTTAAGTTTTATTCCCGGAGACTAGGGCCGAATGGACGAAACTCATCAAACCCCAAGGTACCAAACAAACTTGTAACTGACATTGAGATTTGGGGTGCGGAGTTCATGGAGACAACATGATGTTCTGAGGTTTGATTATATTGTCCATCTACTGTAGTCTTGGAGACGGTGCTGCTTGAAGACATACCACCCATTGTCCTTATGAGTGATGTGAGCTGCGCACCATTCGGGCTGGATTGCAATCCAGGGTGGACGGTGGAAAGCGAGCCTGGCAGGCCTTTTGACTCAAGCCACACAACTCACAAACCTGCACAGCTACTTCTCTCCCCAACCAAACGCCCCTCCGCAGCTCGCTCCGGCGAAGCTTGAATCCTTTGACTCCCACAGCTGCACGGCACTTGACTGACTTAGCTCAAAACCGCAGGTTCCTGAGTCGGTTAGCCCTGCATGGAACGTGACGCCGCACCTGAGGTGTTGTTGAATCTTCCGATGCCACAGGTCGGCACTCGCCAAGGCCTGGTGACGGCGAGTAGACGCAGCCGCCCCGTCCGCGTCTGGTCACCGAGGAAGAACGGTTTGGGTGGTGGTTTCGGCAGGGGGACCCTGGGTCGCGCCCCTTGGGCGCCACGTGGACTCCTCCCCTGAGAGGTTCACATGGGCTTAACGTGGATGGCTCCGAAAAGGAAGACCATGTTCAATTCGAAGAGCAAGCAGGTGGTGAAGTCACTCCACGATTATGTTAGTTCCAAGGAGGGTACCAAAAAAATCTTCGGACTTGCGACTCTGCCCCCCATGATGAAAGAGCTGATTGGAAGTGTCTCGAACCCTCCACAGTTCGGCTTTTTTCGGCGTCGCGCAAGCTTGTCAACTCCACACGTTGAGAGGCGCGACCCACAGCGATCAAAACCCGGGAAGTTCAGTCATGATGCGTTTTACCCCCTAACAATTGGTGGATCATGACTACCTGGTGGGGTAGAAATGAGTCATGGGAAGTTCTGGGTAAGATATACTGATGAGACTGTCTGGAAAATGACCCGGTCGAGTAGACATTTGGCCCCAACCCCTCTGAGCAAAGCTCGCCACCCCCCCCAGCCTTGGGCTTTTCCGTCTCCTGCTTTTGAGATGCCTCAACCGGAGTTGTATAGGGTGCATCAATTTAGCATATCAGAAGCAGTTCCATAAGTTCACCAAGTGGATTGCTAAGAATGCATCAGATCATTTAGAATCCCTCTCGTTTAGGCCGCTGCAGCTTGCATGTCTAACTAAGTCCTTGCGATCAACGCTTGCATCATGTGCACATATCAAACCCCCCAAAAATAAATAGAACAACACACAAAATCCCCAAAACAACGCCGCCTCTTCATGTTCCTCCTCTTCCAACCCGCCGTTCACGCCCCAAAAAAAGCCCCACCCCCCGGTGTCGGTGGTCTCACCTGGCGCCGTTGCTTGTGGATCACGAAGAGCGGCACGGCCGCCACCCAGCGGATCAGCCCCGCCCTACGGCGGATCCGCCACCGACGTCAGGCCAACATGGCCCTTTAATGAATTTGCTCGGCCCTAATATTGTTTATTTCCTATATAGCACAGCATGTATTTATTTATATATTGTTTTTGATATAGATATAATCAGACATATATATATATAATATAGATATAGATAGATATAGATATAGATATAGATAAAGATATAGATCTAGATATAGATATAGATAGATAGGATAGGATAGGATAGGATAGGATCGGAAGGCTTTTATCTTTATAAATATACGATGGTGCTTGCAATGTATGTAGGATAGGTTTTCACGGGTAAAGAGCCACCCCGCGCCCAATGGCGTGGCCAGGGCTGGGGCGGCTGGAAGCTGACCACCAAAATGTCAAAACCCCATTAAAACCCACAAGAGTCCAAAACCACGCCCCTAGCAAATAGAAAAATGCACCAAATCAACGGTGCACGCGCCTGGCAGCGATGGGAACCACATCATACCCCCGGCAGCGCAGGCCACGAGTCCCGCAGGTGGGGCCCAAGGCCTCTAAGGCCTTGCAAGCGCCCGCCTCCACCACCGCATTGGCCTCGCAGGTCGGCACCCGGACCAGAGACGGACCATGGTGAGGTTGGCACGCCAGGTGAAAGGCGTGTGAGGTTTCACGAGTAGCACTAGTAGGGTGCGCTGGTGACAAAACGTTGGGCGCCTGCTAAAATCCATGTTGATAACTAAACTGAACCTCTCAATGTTGAAATGATAAACAGTTAACCACCGATGAAATGAACCTGACACTGGCTGACCCTTGTACCATGGGGGTCGAATTGGAGACCCTGCGTAAACACCTACAAAACCATCAAAACATCTGGCAGGTGGAACCTGGAGTCTGCACTCAAGTGGCTTTGAGGCATAGCTGTTTCTATTCCTCGGAACTTCGGCCTCCCAAACACCCTGACGGTGGGCTTTTTGGGGAGTCCGGACGGTCCGGAACTGTGCAGGGAGAACTCCCCCCCGGCTCGACGCTCGCAGACATCGAGTGGTCCCAGAAGCCATCTGCAAGAGCTGCATGATTCGGCCATCCAAGCGCAAATCGTCGCTGCCCTTGAGGAGGAAGCTGTGCCAGGTGCCATCCTGCGCCTCCTCGGAGGGGATGGGAGGCGCAGGCTGGCGCTAGCGCCACGGGACAAGGAGAAGGAAAAGCGGTGGCTCTAAAAGGAGAAGGAAAAGACTGGACTCCCTGAAGCCAAGCCATCTGCACACATGGTTGGAGTGGGAGATGGGGTAGGCCCATATCATACAAAAACCTTGTCCTAATCATGTTCAACCAATGGTGCTTTGTGGGACTTAGGGTCCGGGTCCAGCGACTCCAAGCGTCAAAGCTTAACTTCTTGGGCTTGGTCTTGGTGGAGAGCAAGTGCACCTGGGCCACGGGATGAGCCATTCGCACGCCATGCAGAGTGACTGGATGAGTGATGAAGATCTCGAACTGAGGTGGAAAAGTGCCTGGTCACCCCTGTAGGCTTTGCGGTGAAGAGACAGAAGGCTAAGAGTGGAGGATAAGTGCTGAAGGGATGGCCCCGCTGTGATCTGACAACCTTGCAGCGACTGAGCAGGATCGTTCTCTTGCGACTCAGTCGAACTGGGGTGATGGGGTTCATGTGCTGCTCCTACTGCACTGTTCAAGAGCAGCTCGCCTGTGCACTGAAATCAAATCATGGTGACAAAGTCTTGGTGTGAAACCTCATCTCCCCCAAATATCCTCAAAACCTTAAATCACCCATTCTCTCCACAATTGCTTTTTTCGTCTCATTGTCGCATGACGGGGCACTACCTCCGACGCGCGCGTGAGGCGCATGAGCGGCGCGCCAGGCGCCACGTCGATGGGAAGGATGATCTGCTCCTGGTCTTGAAACCTGAAACCCGGCGGAAGCCGCGCTTGTGGCGCGGGCGAGAACGGCAGCAAACAACGTGGGGTGGTGGGATTCACTGCAGTTACCCACACTACTTCAGGGGGATGCCGGACAAGAGATTCCGGAATCTGATGGGTGTCAGGTGGCGCCGAAAGGCAATCCACACCAAAAGACATGAATGAGCAATTCCTGGGCTGCTTCAGTTCGGCGGCTTCTTTGGGTTTCTCAACCTTGCAGAGTGGCTCGCCCGGGATTCCCGCAGGGTCCGTTGTGCTTTTTAGCCGTGTGCTTGCAATTGAAACCAGCTTCTTCCTGATATGTGGCGATCTCAAATCAAAAGATTGCCCCTGCAGATTAAGATGGACTCTCAAAACCGCTGGGTTGTATAATATAGAGGAAAACTGTCTTCCACAGGGTAATCTTCAGGGTCCATGTTAGTTCAGAGGGGTATTGCCCCTGCTTCTTCCAGATATGAGTTCCCTCTGATCACACCAACATCGCTCGTTCGCTCCGCCCGTCTCCCTTCCACCACTCCAGGGCGCATCTGCAGCAGGTCGGGCGCCAGGTCCACCAAGGGCACGCTGCTGCTCGCGAAGTGGTTGCAGCTTCGCTGCAACACGTGGAGATGGGCCAACAAGCTCCTCACAAGAGGAAAGCGCGCGGTAGTACATGAACAAAAAACAGAATAGTCACATCATATATACAGTAAGGACCAGAAATCATGATTGGTACGCTTTTCCTCTCTTTGGATCTACCTGTGTGTACAAATAACTAGTTCTGAGAATGCTCGCTGTACAAACGTGCGCTGAGGCAATAAACCTCATTTAAAAAAAAAAAAAACTTTGATACGGTTCTTGCCCACAGTTGTGAGTTGAACAGTCTTTTTATTCATGTCCTAGATTTTGGCGTTCATGTGTTTCATTTCATGTTACTAGCCAAGAGCCAATGAGAATAGATTAGTATAGTTTAACATCCAAGGCATCAAAGCAAATGTGATGAAAGATGTTAAAGCAAAACATGAGAGGAAACAATATTGTGGGGTGAACTATTTGTATAATTATGCGGTTTGTTTTTCATCTTTTAGCTCGATTGGCAGCCAAGGCATCACGACTGACCACTTGCCCTTTCTAGGGATGGATTGATTCGATAGCCCGAAGTTAGAGGCTGAGAATTGCAATCATTGATGGATTTCACGGACGATATGAAATATTTGTTTCTCATCCGTTGCAATTACCTACCAAATGAGCTAAAAGATTCATAAACCGTATAATTATACAATAATAGTTCACCGTTTTTCATCACTGTTGGGTGGCTGGTCAGGTCGTGGTGGCTGGTTTCGTGCTGGTCACTCCGGTCACCAGCGATGAACAACATCAGCCGGGTGCCTCATTTAGTGTCTTGAACTCCAAGGGAAATGGAGGAGGGTCAAACCCGGTCAAACCCTCTCCAATCCCAGGTGGGGATGATGATATGGCCCGACAATTCGGGCAAAAGAGAGGGATCGATTTGGTCCCATAGACGTCTTGGACTACGTCTTGATTGTTCACTTCGGGGTATCCCCTCGACTCATGGTCTAGACGCCTGCCCCTTCGGTGTCGGCCAAAACTGAACCCCACCAGCGACCACGGGCGGCTAGCCTCTGGACCCCATTTTCGAAGCTCCCTACCAAACATCGCAACGCACAGCAGGGCACTACGACGCACGCACCCACACGGCGGTGCAAGTCGCACCGCTTCCCTCGCCGGCTTCCCAGCTCCTTTGCAGCTCCTGCGCGCCCTTCGCGAGACGATGCGGGCCATGCAGGTAGAGCATCCTGACGAACACGGATGCTAATCCCACCGGATCCCACGTGACCAGGTGACCAGGTGACCACCCATACTTACCAAATGTATATAGTTCCCCAAATAGATAGTTGGCATGCATTCCAATACATTACATTCTTCGGTGGGGGTCTACTTTCTATCCATTTGGGGACCACTATGCTCGCCAAACCCCAAAAAACTGGCATACTCACACCAAACCCACCAATGCTTCAAGGGACACCTGTGTTGGACATGTTCCTTGTCACTTCTGCGGGTGAAATGTCACCATGCCACACAATTTGGATCTCATAAAGACCTATCGCTTCATGGCCGTTATAGAGCCCCTGCCACCGCACTGGCACCACAAATGTCGAACATCCTCACTTAGTGCCCCCTTCCACGATACTCACAAAGAGTCCCCATCTTCTCGTGATCAGGCCACTGAGATGTACCCTCTGACTCACGTTCCATGGAAGGAAGGTGGAGTTCAAAGGAAAGTAGTCTTTCTTTCAGGGCCATGCCATGCACATCCAACCAAGAGAGGTGGAGAGACCTGAACTGGGGACCCGAACTCGTGGTACATATGGGATAGGCGAAAAAGGACTTACTCAACCTCTCTAGGCATCGTTCCGCCGTGTGTTCCCGGCACCTGCGGAGGGGCGGGAGGAAGATCTGCAAGAAGCGCCGCGCATAGACAGAGTCCAGCGAGGGCGCACAGCCCATCAAACACAGCACCTGTCAGCAGGGCAAAGCCTTCCTTTATCATTTACTTGTATTCTTCTCCATCTTTATCATACTATTTTTTAATGGAAGGCCATTAACCTCATGATTCTTGGCACGGCTTCTTGTTGTATATGATGGATCTTGGACCAATCAACTCAGCTCCCCAAGGATCCCTCCAGCACGGTGCATTCATCCGGTGGAACGGTGGCCAGGCCACGACGGTGGGTTCTCCCACTCACCCATCCACCCGTCAGAAAAAGGCAAAGGAGCGATTGAAACCTGGCTGAGACATGAGGGTTTCCATCAATGGGGAGACCCCCAAATCATCCATTTAATGGGTTGTTGTTATCATAAACCATCCGTTTTGGGGCGCCCCCATTGATGCACACCATATAGCTCACAGATTACACCACTCCCACCTGGGAGGGACTGCCGCTGCGATGGGGCTTTTCCACGTCGAGGTCTTCGAGCAAGTCCAGCAGAGGACCCAAGAGTTGCGGAGCACAGCTCGGAACCTCAGGATACTCGAAGAGGCTTGGAGGATGGAGAATGTCTTTGGCCTTTGAAAAGGGTGAGAATTTCAGTCGAAAAGGAACAGTAGGGTGAAGAGGTCTGGGCGTCAAACTCGAAAACGAGGCTCTCGGTTCAATTCCAAGGGCGGCCCGTGGCCTTGCGCGCAAAGGGCTCGCCTCGTCCACCGGCTTGGGCGCCAAGAAGGACTCTGCGAAGTGCAGGATCCGCGCGCAAACCTGAGACCAGGCCAGTTGGAGGCCAAAGACCAAAGACCAGGCCAAAGACCTCCGAAAAGTGCCTGATCTCTTCAGGTTGCTCGAATCTCGCTCATGCAGGGCTTAGCCTATCTGTGTCCGACCGGAAGCTCCGGATCGTGGGAGACGCCAGCTCGCCAGTTTGACCTTATATACTCCCTTCATGATGTGGCCGGATGACCAGGTGCTCGATGGGAACACCATGCCAATCGAGTTCATCACTTTCCCAACTATACCTAGTCTTTGGAACCAGTGCTGGATCCGCTGGGCGATCGCCCTCCCCACCTCATCCACCGGGATGGCCATGGCGTTCAACGCGCGTGCGAAGCGCGAGGCGGTGCCCAGCAGCGCCGGATGCAGACGCTGGGCGATGGCCAGCGCCTTCGGCGTCCACGTGAGGTGTGAGGAGGGGGGCCTGGGAAGCTTAAGATATGTGCCGACCCAGGCGGACCCTAGGGCGTTCACTCTGTTCAATACAGATGAGGTGACCAAAACGCTTTGGAGCGGAAACCTGGTGGAGGCCTGCACCTGATGGTTCAGGGCGTCACCAGGTTGAGTTGGGCAGGAAAATGCACCTCGGACCCCAAATCCACGCCTCAACGCCTTGCTTCACTTGTCACAGTGAGGATCCAACCCATGAGGTAATGTGAGCCCCCAAGCAAACATCTCAAAACCGCCAAAAACCATGTCTCCCGTCGAAATCGGTAAACCCGGTTCAACCTTTGGGGGGAGCTGTCACAGGCCAACCTCCTCAATCCTCAGACCGCTCAGACCGCTCCCCCCAATCAGCTCTCCCCTCCTTGGAAGACTCCTCTGCTGCCAGCGCTGGGAAGAGCACCACATGTGGCTTCCGATCGGCCACCCGCTCGAACAAACCTGCCAGCCGCTAGCAGCATGGGGGTTGGGAGGGGTTGGGGAACTGCTCAGGAGTGGGATGTAGAGGGAAGTTAGGTTGGAAAGTAGATGGCAGCATCATCGGTTTTTAAAGCATCGTTACGTGGCTCCAGGCCAGGCAGCTGTTGCAAGGAAGAAAGCTTCTTCGGTCACCGAAGACATCACCGGTGACCGTCCCAAGTCGCCACAGTGATCCACCAGCAAAAACGATCCAATTCCTCGATCGCGCCTGCAGCCACCGTGGCCACGCTGTGCTCCGTGGAGGGACCTCGGGGGACTCCCGGGTTCAGGGAACCCAAAGGGATAACACTCCGTTGTTCCACTTCCATGGAACGTGAAGCCGAGTGGAATTGCTTGGAAGCCACTGCAACATCCCCCTTCGCCCCCAAGCACGTCATCGAGTCAGAAGCTGGGCACCCGCTCCGTTCATATAAGCCAGAAGCTGTGGCAGCAGCGGCTCCGGGAAACGCGTCCTCAGGGAGAAGTGGTGGAGCAACGTCCTGATGCAAGGACTTGTTCTGCAAGCTTCTTGTTCCTAGTAGTAAGAATGCTCCTGGTAGCGATGCCAGGAGCCCCTAGTAGCGTTCTTGCCCCTAGCAGCAATGCCCTTTGCTCCTAGTAGCGTTCTTGTTCCTAGAGGAAATGATTTTGGTAGAAAACTCTTGGGTGTACACCATCCCCTGGGCCCAGTGGATGATGATGGTTCAGTTGCAGGCCTTTCTCAACAATAGGGATAATCCTGTATCGATTGTTACAGGTAGTAGGACACCCCAATATATGTATATACATCTGCCAATAACAACCCATTCCCAGGACCCAGTGGATGATCATTCAGGCTCCACCGTGGCTCTAACCAGTCGCCAAATCGGCCGGAAGCTCCAAACCGTCTGCATTGATCGGAACACGTGGACTCATGGTCTGCATTCGGGGGGGACTGCTCAAGAGCGACCACGCCAAAGGAGCCGAGAAAGAGTGCCTCTTTCTCTGCCCTAGAAGTCCTGCCTGACGATATTTTGACTGACTGAAGTAAAGGATCTTCCTTTTTGGGTCACCTAAAGACCATTCTTGGTATAGTATAGTCTTTGACTCCCAGGGTGTGTTTAACATCTCGTCACATCAAGAGCTATGCATGGCGCCCAGTTCCCCCGATTCGCCGTGCCGCCGTGCCCTTCTGAAAGCTAGGCCTCAAAAGCGCCTCTCCCTCAAACATCAGACCCGCCTGACCCAAGTGTACCCCAACATCAATGAGTAAAAACAATAAACTTAAACCTCTCATTCTTTCACACGTATCCCGCCATCCTCACCGAGCGGCTCCAGCCACTCCAGTGCGCTGGGCCTCTGCAGGTGCCGCTCCGTGAGCCGCAAGGACCGCAGCACCGCGCGCTGCACGCGCGGATGGCTGGGCGGCAGCTCGGAGCGGTTCAGGTGCCGGACGTACGCCTCGAGAAGGACACGAGCGCGGCTCCAGCCATTCTTAGAAGGTATCACTGGACCCAAGTCAAGCACCCTATGGACTGATGCCAAGGCCACGTCAAGCACGGTTGGGGCATGGGTGACATCCTACAAAAACCACGGCGGCTTTATGAAACAAAGCAAACTGTTCCAGCCTTTCCATCTAAAACTGAGACTGGAAAGTTCTGGCAGCTGGTGGTGTCAGAATTCACCAAGTCAACAGTCCTTCCTTGAGGGTGCCCATGTCACAACAAAACGTCTCATGTCCGGTCTTGCTTGGCGGCACCTCGATGGTCTGTGCACCAGCCGCGCGTTGCCACTGGCTGAAGGTGGATGCCTAAATGCCGGACTGGCTGCGGTTTCCACGGCCGTTCGGCCGCGCGGTTGCTCGGATCGGATGCCAAGGGTGCGCCAGCGGATGTTCGGATGCCAAGGGTGCGCCAGCTGTACTGCATATTCAATATATTCCGTACTTAGAGCTAAGGGACCTTGAGGGTTGTGAGGACATTGGGACAAAATGGGAGATCACTATAATACACACTGAAAGCATCTCACGCATCTCAGGTTTCTCGCCATAAGTGCCCTAAAACAGAATGGACAAACCTGTCCAAAGTTCACAGGGACAGGCAGAAAGAGTCTTGGGGATTTGAGCCAAGAGTTGTGAAGGGGGTACTGTTGGCACTACCCCCAACATCCGAGGCTCCAAGAATGCAATTGGCTCGGCCAGCGCCGCTGCCCGTTGCTCTCCCAAGTCCTACCGAAGCGAAGACAGCTGGTCATGGGAAGCGAACACCACTTGAACACGTCCTCCGGCAAGCGGAGGATGCAAGACCTCCACGCGACCAAAACGAAAAGGTAAAACGTTTCTCTAGACTCCACCCGCCACCTTGATGGAACCCCCTCCCTGTTCGTCCCCACCACGATGAATCCGTCCTTCCAGCACCTGCACTGCCCCACCTGGCCCGGTGGGGCTGAGGGTTCCGAGGAACCCGACCGAGGACAACGGCCTACGCTTCTCTTCGACCCTAAGAGTCTATGTGGGTGGTCCCGGGTGGTCGGTTTCCAAGAGCGTGCCTGGGGAGGGGTGCCTGGGGGGGTTTCTAAATCAGTATTTGCAAGAGGCGCTCATGACGTCCTTGTGATCATGCAAAGAGGTCACGACCAGACTACCCACACCAAAAGACATTGACCAAGCAAAACTTGGCGCACAGCTGGAATCTATCTATCGAGGAGAACGATCTTCCAAACTCACTTAAGGATCTTAAGGGGATTCAAGTCACGGCGGCGCTGTTCCAGTTCCATCCACGTTCCATCCAGCCCGCACTCGTCCGAGCCCCATCCTGGGCCGAGCCCCCACCCTGGCGAGCCCGCACGCGCTCGTGCCTTGGAGTGCTTCAAGAGCCACTGCAAAGACATCGCGGTCGCTCGCCCGCTCTCATGCTTCACCCACCTGGCGATCGAGAAAGGCCGTGGTCATGGGGAGACCCCTCCAAAAAAAAGAAAAGCCAAGGCTTGCGTCTCAACAGCCCCTCGTTGGCTCCGCGGAGGCCGCCGATGTCTCGTTTGGGCGCCGGCCTTCGGATACCCTGTGCCACCCAGCGCGCCAGCTGCGGCAGCTCCGGCGGGGCCGCGCTGCCGAGGGCCGCCGAAAGCACGGCCTCCACGTAGGCGGGCTCCAAGGACCAGGCCTGGCAGATCTGAAGATCTGCGAAGCTGCCCCGTCCCAGCCGTCCCAAGCGAAGAGTTTCCCTGGTGGCTCACCAATGACCTATGCCTCTATAGATCTCTAATAGACTGACACGGGGTCCATCCGTGAAGCCCGAAGTTGGTACAGAACACTGCAAGAACCAGGACATACGTTGTTTTCGGGTGGTGGGTAGTGTCCCATTGAGGGCTGGTCATGAGCTTGACAGACTCCACATTCCACATTCCACCCTCTCCTGCAGGAAAAGCCAATCCGCGTACTGCCCCCAAAGGTGGCCATCATCGCACAGCTGGCAGGTCTGTTCAAACCACCTGATCCGAAGCGGGGTGGTCTGGGCTGATCTACCTGAAGTCCACACCCTTCACCGCCCGAGGGAGGTTCTCACACATCGTAAAATCACCTGCCTGGTGGGTGCTCCAAAGTGGCCCTTCACTCACCCCTTCCAAGATTGAGAATCATCTCATATCATCTCAACCAGCCCCGTCAATATACAATTACCCTAGACATCCCTAGACTACATATGGGGTGCCCCAGTCAAGACTTGGAATTGCGGAAGCGACGGGAAGGACTCGAACTAGCCAAGACCAAGCAGTTCTTCTCACCTGACATTCGCCACATTCTCCACAAGCTGCTTCTCCACCCCGACATGTGCGACCCCATCAGCCGGTCCCAACCTTTTGGACCTCAGCATGCCCCAATTCCAACCTTGGCGTCGAAAACCTCGCACTTTCCACCCTCAGCTGACCCCCAGTTCCTCTTGCTCAGCAGCCAGGAATGCGACTGTCCAAGCCACTGGCCCATGAAGAAGGGGTTCAGCTGTGCACCCGGAAGCGTCGTCGACAGCTCGGGAACCATCAGCGCCGTGCACCAGCGCCCGGCCCACTCGTCGAACAGCTGCCCCGGCGCACCTGAAGAGGGCACTCTGATTGGAACCAAACGGGCGATGGTGAGGCTGTGTATTGGGGCAGAACCCCAATCGGCCTTTTCCCACTTGGCCCCCCCGGCCTCCAGGCCTCCTGCAGGTCTCAACTTCCAAACTGCGGAATCGAAACACCTTGCAGACTCACCAGGCACTTCGCAGCACCACAGATGGCCGCACCGCTCTTCACAATATTTTTTCCACTTCTTTTGGCGTCCGAAACCTCCACGTGTCGCGCTTCTGGCGACGGTGAACCTCGTCTGGTGTCTGAGGACATGGGGGTCGTCGCTCAGCAGGCGGCGCCTGGGAAGCAAATGGTCACCTCGCCGCTTCCGAAGGCCATCCAATAGTCGTCGTTGTCCTTTTGACAGGGTCCGCTGAGGCCGTTCACCGGGAAGTGCTCCGCCTGGTACTGTACAGAGGTGTCGCGGTCGCAGGGCACGTCGGCGGAGAGGCCGTTGCTGCTGCTGGAGCCCAAGTTGTTCTTCACATACATGGAGTACTGCTTCTGTTCACTTGGAATCTTGGTAATCACCCCAATGTACCCATCCGAAGGGCTCCAGTTGAAGGCATACTCACCACCTGCAGGAACATCTTGCCACAGCTTGCCCCCCTTTGTCAGCTGGCGCTGTGGCAACTGCACCGTCGATTTGCAGGGGGCATCGCCTCCAGACGTGCAAGAGATGCTCGTGTAGTCTTGTTCCACTCCTGTGACGACGGTGGCCTTGTCCCAATTCACTAAGCTCTTCTGGCTAGAGTCATAGTAAAGAGCTTCACTCTGACCTGGACTTGCGAAGCACGCTGTGTGATCCGGATAATTCTCGGTGGTCATCGCCCACCCGTCCGTGTAGGCACAGTAGGCCTTTTCAGCATCTGTGACCATAATCATCAAATAAGAATTCTGACCCCCCAAGCATTGGGCATAGGCAGCGTTGAACCCTTCAGCGCATATGGGCGCCAGCTGCTGAGCAGGCGTGGCACCAGATTGGGACGGGCCCTTCACCACGATCGGGGTACTGGTACGTGAGTGCGCTTGGATCAAGCTCGTGGGCTCTTGGCAATCCTGGCTTGCCGTCACCACGGCCAAAAGAGCAACCCAAACAGCCATGAGGATCAGACCGACACCCGAGACGAGACCGAGATCCGAGACGCTCTGGATGAGCATTGAACACTTGAGAAAAAGAGTCGGTGGATGTCTAGCATGTCTTCTTTTCCTTGACAGAGAGAGAGCATCCACTCCCACATCGCTCCACTCGCAGCTCAGTCCCGCACCTTCCGCTGCCAGGTGCTTGCCCAGCCCCACCAGCGAGCGCAGCACGCGCGGCGAGGGCGTGGCGCCCACGGAGGACAGCAGCTGAGAGGAGAGCCTTCGTCAACCGAACGAAGAAAAGGCGGAGACTGAAGGCTCCGAGGTGAAGGTTACGCGTTTTAGCCGGTAGATCTTGTGTGTGTGTGTGTTCCCGTGATTTATTAAATGCTTTTCTTTGACCCACCTGTCTCAAGCAAAGTTCACAGGCATCAAGTCATAGGCGAGGTCTGGCCACATCTTTGAACAATTGAAGGAGAGTGAATGAGGGTGTCCTGCAAAGACTCCTGCTTGAACCATCCCAAGCTATTGGCCTCAGAAGGGTTCTGCTCTCAAAGGCAGGCAAAGTATCTAGCAAAAAAGCACACATCCATGCACATCCAATCCGTACTTGACCTAAGGGGTCCATTGCAACCACCCAAGGCCCCGCACAGGCGCCACAGTCTTTGGCACCATGTGGCACAAGCCCGTTGGCCCAACGGCAGGCCCCACTCCCCACGCACAACCCCTGTCCCCACCGGTCTTTCTTCGCCGAGGTGGCCCGGCGATCTCGTGGTGCACCGCCCGACGGCCGCGGCGGAAGTCCGCGTCTCGCAGCTTCGTGAAGGCCGAGGCCAGGGCATAGTCCAAGACCTCGGAGGCAGAGGCCAACGCGGAGGTTGAGAGACCTGAACTAGCAACAAGAAGCTACTAGGAACAAGTGCATCGAACCGCTTCTAGTAACAAGTGCCTTACTAGTATAAGTAACAAGAAGCTACTAGGGGCTCCTGGCCTTACTAGGTTGAGAGACCTGAACGTTCGGACCCTGGTCTGTGGTACATATGGGATGGGCGACCTTAGGGCTGTTCAACCTCTCTTAGAGACTCTGGGCGGATCAAGGCGAACTTCTTTGGTCCTTTGTCGGAGCGGTCGGGGGCGCACTCGACCCATGAGGTATGCCACCCCGACGAAAAGAGGGACTGTTTGGACCCAAACTGCGTCGCTTTTTGAGAAAGGCCTCCCCGCCAATCCGCTGAAAGAAAACAAGAAGAACCCGACATTTAGAAACGCAATGCTGATACTTTAGTATTGGAAGCCTTGGTCTCTTATATGAGTGTTACTTGAGTTGTGAATAGGGAAAAAATGGAAAAAGGCTGCTCCCCACTTCCGCTCACCTGCAAACCTTCGGCCATCCGCTCGCGCTGCGCCATCAGCAGCTTGGAGCGCCAAAGGCTCGGCTCCAAGACCTGCTGGGTGTCCAAAACCCACTCCGCCAGCTTGTAGCTCCGCTCCTCGGCACCGTGGTCTCGCCCCTCCGCGGCCCGGTACGTCCGAGGAAAAAACGTTTGGACGTTTGTTCGGCTCTGCAAAGAGTTAAGTGTTTGGGCATCTGTACTTCTTTTCGCTCTTCATCTCGATCTTCAACGGTCTGCCCGTTTACTGGAGAAACTCTCGTGGCGACTTGGTTCTCGTTGTCTTGTGGCGATGTGGGACACCACTTCCTGCGGTGGGATTGTGAGCCTACACCCAGTTCATCAAGCTCCCGGAAGCGAAACATCTCAAGATCAGGGCCCCTCTCGCCTGCATGCAAGTCTGCATCAAGGCATCGGCTTCTGGCACCTGCAAACCCAGCTAACCCCACGTGGCACCCAGTCCTCCTGCTGATCTGTTGAAAGAAATCCTACCACTTCAGGGCCACTGACGCCAGATAGCAAAACTCCATAGCTGTCACCCATAGCTGCCGCTATCTGGGGACAAAAAGAAACTCAAACCCCATCCAGCCTGTAGCACCTCCAAGAGATCCAAGGAAGCCGCACGACGAAGCGCTGCCGCTGAGCAGCCCGTCTTCTCGGGCGATTCCTGGCAAAGCTGCCGTGTATTGACTCAGTCCGCGACACGGTATGAGGCTCGACAGAAGAAAATTATGAAATCAAAGCAATCTTCTCAGCTACTCAGCTATTTCATGCAGCCCTTCTCATGTCCTGCAGCCCTGCTTCACCGCATTCCCCTCCTTTCTTCCCATCTGACCACCAACCAACCTTTGGCCCAAAAAACAACCTGCCACCAGGGCACCAAGGCATCTAAGAGCTCCAGCTGTGGATGCAGCTCGTCATGCACCTGGCCGGGGCCAGTGCAGACGGACACGCCACACTTCTAAGTGCGGACGCGAGGTGATAAAAACGCAAAAAACGAGGAGAAGATAGGAGAAGTGGAGTCACCCCCCAATTTCCTCCCATTATGTTCTGGCTGGGGATTGCCCCGGCACAAGCCATACTGGAGTAACCTCGAAAAATGAATCCTCCCCCTGAGTGAAGTGACAGGCGGAGGTGCATCCTCATCCGTCCGACCGCCCGTTGATCTGTCGCAAGCCACCCATGTTCACACCATAGATCAGCCCCAACAGGGCTGAAGATGAACGAGAGGAGGGCTTCACACCATAGATCAGCACCAAAAGAAGCTTCCCATGCGAGATGTTCGGATGGTCAGCCGGAGGTCAGGTGCCACGGCTCGACCAAGCCCCGACGACGGACCTGAAGGGAGCTCAGCAGCAAGGGCTCAGTATGGCACAGCGCACTGATCTCTGTCTCCAGTGAGGACCGTGCCTGGATATTACAAACATGTTGATCTGTTTTCCGGAAGGCCTGAGCCTGAAGCCTTCTCAGAAGTGCTGTGAGTTGCTTCGTGCTAGTTAAAGCTTCAAGCTTTAAACATCCAAATGCAAGTGTTTAATTGTTCAACAGTCATCACAACCACCATCGTATGTCATCATGATCAATGAGACTCCCATGGCACATGCACATTCGATTGGAGCGGTGCTCGGCGCGGGGGTTCCGCACCTGGCGCAACGCTTGGGGTGCCAGCTCCGAGCCCAACTTGACCTCCACGGCCTGAGGAGGGGTCTAGGGGCGGTTCGTGTCTAGGACTGATTGGGGTGGTATTTCTTCTCTTTGCAGCCACAAGTGTACATCTATGGTGCCTATAGTCTCTTTGGATTTCTTGGCTCTCTTTGCGGTTCTGAGGAGTTGGCATGGGGCACTTGCTGCCCCCAAGGTGTCATAACTACGACTACGACTACGACTACTACGACTACGACTACGACTACTACTACCACTACCACTACCACTACCACTACCACTACCACTACCACTACCACTACCACTACTACCTCCTCCACCTCCTCCTCCTCCTTCTGCTTCTGCTTCTGCTTCTTCTTCTTCTTCTTCTTCTTCTGCTTCTTCTTCTTCTTCTTCTTCTTCTTCTGCTTCTTCTTCTTCTTCTTCTTCTTCTGCTTCCGCTTCGGCTTCTTCTTCTTCTTCTTCTTCTTCTTCTTCCTTCATGGGCCTCATGGGCCTCATGGGTCCCTCCAAGCTGCGCGTCCGACTTCCACCAACCCCAAAAATCTGTCCTCCTTCCTTCCCCCCCTTTTATGGCCAGTGGTGTTGGCCTGCGGAAGCGCCTCCAGCGCGCGATGCGGCCGCTGGGGGCCCGGACCGCTTCCACCATGAACAGCGCATGCAGATCGTCCCACCTCGACAGCCTCGCCACCCCTTCGCCCCCGCGGGCCGCGGACGCGTCCGCGTCGGCCGCGGCCGCCCAGGCGGCGGCACTGGCGGCTTGGGCCGTGCCCAGGGCCGAGCGGCTCGCCTGGCCGGGATGACGAGCTTCGAAAAGGCGGTTGAAGAAGGCATGCATGGAGCTTGGGACAGCCAAAAAGGTTTGAAGATCCAAAGGGGCTAGGGATCGACATTTGAAGCGTCACCTGTGGCAAAGACATCATCATGTTGATATGATCAATGGGGTCACAGATTCAAACGAGCTGCAGTTTTTGGTATGAGGGAATTTGAAGCACAAAGGTAACACTTCACAAACAGCGCCACACCTTAGAATCCCCTGGTGTTGTGAGTTCATATTTGGAGTTTTTTGTCAGCTCGAACCCGTGTCCTCCCAGTCTCGCTTCAGGAGTAGCTCCTTGGAGAGGCACGACGACAACAACGGGAACCGGTCAAAGCATCAGCGGCGTTCACTGGACTGGACGGCCAAGCGCTGGTCCAACCACTTCATCATAACAAAATGGCCAAACATGACGGAGAAGAATAAGAAGAAAAGGAGAAGGAGAAGGAGAAGGAGAAGGAAGAAGAAGAAGGAGGAGGAGAAGGAGAAGGAAGAAGAAGGAGAAGAAAAAGGAGTGGGAGAAGGAAGAAGGAGGAGAAGGAAGAAGAAAAAGAAGGAGAAGAAGAAGAAGGAGAACGAGAAGGAAGAAGAAGAAGGAGAAGGAGAAGGAGAAGGAGAAGGAGAAGGAGAAGGAGAAG